ATACATATTCATAATGAATATATGTGCATATATAATTACATATATGGAGTCAACCTACATATTCATCAGTAGGTGTTACTCGAGTTGAATGAAGTATATTTGGTCTGAGAGCATGTTCAGCACCCATTAAAAGTTGCATAGCCCTAACTGGTGTGGCTCAGTGGATAGAGCGTCGGCCTGCAGACTGAAAGGTCCCAGGCTCGATTCCGGCCAAGGGCATGTACCTTGGTTGCGGGCACATCCCCAGCGGGAGGTGTGCAGGAGGCAGCTGATCGATGTTTCTCTCTCATCGATGTTTCTAACTCTCTATCCCTCTCCCTTCCTCTCTGTAAAAAATCAATAAAAGTGTATTAAAAAACACACAACCACTTCTCAGTGGATAAAGTCCCAAATTTAAAAAAAAAAATTGCATAGACTTGGTGGCGGGGACTGGGGGCTTGTGAGGAGAGCAGGATGTAAACTGTCTCTGAGCAGTGGCTACAGCGACGCGCCAGGGATGCGGGTGCCTCGGGGAGGGGGCGGGCAAGGAGGAGAAGAGCTGCCTGGGTCGGGTGGCAGCGCCGTGGATGGTTTCTTGTACATTTCAGGTTTTAATCATCTTGTCCTTGAATTATATGTGAAATTGGGCTTCACTCTAAATACAAACAGAAGGGGTTGTTGTCTATTCAGCCAACAGAGTGGACTAGCTCCCCTGTACCAGGGACAGCGTTGGTTCTGGGGGGTGAGGAGGACGAAACCCCAGCCCCAGGAGGTTGTGGTCTCAACCCGCCCCCCCTGCCCCCCACCCCCCGGGGCCATGTTTTCCAGGACCCAATCATCAGCCAGTTCTTCCCCACCCTCCTCCTGTGGTCCTTCTCCGCCCTGCTGCCCACCATCGTCTACTACTCCACGCTGCTGGAGTCTCACTGGACCAAGTGAGTGCCAGGCGGGCGGGCGCTGACCCCGTGCCCTAGGGCAGCGGGCACACGGCTCCCTGGGGACCCCTGGGCTGGGATGTTCACCTCTGACTTCCTGCAGGTCTGGGGAGAACTGGATCATGATGACCAAGGTGTACATATTCCTGATCTTCATGGTGCTGATTCTGCCCTCCCTGGGCCTCACCAGGTACGCGTGGCCGCCTCCTGCTCTCAATTCAGAATCAGGGTCATAGCTGGAGAGTGCTGTCCCCAGGAGAATTCTACTACTCCACGCTGCTGGAGTCTCACTGGACCAAGTGAGTGCCAGGCGGGCGGGCGCTGACCCCGTGCCCTAGGGCAGCGGGCACACGGCTCCCTGGGGACCCCGGGGACCCCGGGGCTGGGATGCTCACCTCTGACTTCCTGCAGGTCTGGGGAAAACCGGATCATGATGACCAAGGTGTACATATTCCTGATCTTCATGGTGCTGATTCTGCCCTCCCTGGGCCTCACCAGGTACGCGTGGCCGCCTCCTGCTCTCAATTCAGAATCAGGGTCATAGCTGGAGAGTGCTGTCCCCAGGAGAATGGAACCTTTTTAAAAAATATATATATATATATATATATACATTTACATTTACATTTACATTTACATGTATACATATATTTATGCTTGTTTCTCACTTTATATATTTAATGTGTTTTTTATTGATTTCAGAGAGGAAAGGAGAGGGAGAGAGAGAGAAACATCAGTGATGAGAGAGAAGCATTGATGGGCTGCCTCCTGCACGCCCCACATTGGGGATGGAGCCCGCAACTCGGGCATGTGCCCTGACTGGGACTCGAACCATGATCTCCTGGTTCATAGGCTGATGCTCAACCACTGAGCCACACCAGCCGGGCCGGAAATGGTTTTGGAGTGGATGCATACCTACCCCTGACAACATTTAAGCCTGTCACACCCACCTGGAGGGCAGTTGTGCTGCCCATTGATTCTCCTGGAGATTGGATCTCTCTACGTTTGAAAACAAATTTATCACAATGGCTGTCCACTTAGGGGGAAGGACGGTTCTGTTACAGTAGGCCCTGGTGTGTCGCACGGCAGCAAGCGGCATTTTAAAGGATAAACGTGGATCTGGAGATGCGGCCTGTTTTTAGAAGAAGAGGAGAAAGAACATCTGTGTTGTGGTCACGAGGCGCGTCGGGAGTCGGTTCTGACGGGATCCGTTTGTCTTTCAGCCTTGACGTTTTCTTCCGCTGGCTCTTTGACAAGTCTTCCCCGGACACCTCTATCCGGTTGGAGTGAGTATCAGCCGGGCGCGCGGAGGTGATGGAGCCAGGGTCCCGAGTAAATGTCCCCCGGGGCTCGGGCTGCGCTGCGGGGAGGGTGGTCCCCGTTTCAGAACAGACCACTTCCTCCCGGAGACCCCAGGGCCTGGGCCTTGCCCAGTCCCCGACCCGGTTCCGGCTGGGGAGGCGGCTGCGCAGAGCCTTCGGCCACATCAGGGGAGCCGGCCCATTCTGTGCCACGTGTGCAAAACATGTGGTTCATTGCTTTTAGGCCAGGACTCAATTAGTCACAGCCTCATTCGGTCTCTGAAACTTATTTACCGAGACCTGAGCCGCTGGGGAGGAGGAGCTGCTGGGCCTCCGTGGTGCCAGGGGGCAGGAGTGGAGTAATAATTAACGTCGCAGCCAGAACGAGTTGTCTGGACTGTGGGTTATCTTTGCCAGGAGAACGGAGTCCAACTCATGTCTGACGTGGGTCCTTGTTAGCATTTCCAGCTCGCACCACACCCACTTCACAGTAACACTTATTACTTAACAAGGCACTGTGCTCAGTGCTGGATTCTTGGTCTCCTTTCGCCTTCACAGCCACTAGCAGTAGGGCGTGTCATTATCCCCACTTTACAGATGAGAAGACTGAGGCCCAGAGATGTTGAATAACTTGCCCAAGGCTACCCAGCGAGTTAGGACATGGAGCTGGGATGTGACCTCAGCCCGGATGGCACTGGACTTTAGGTCCTGAAATAGGCTCATAGGCCCACGGTGGATTTTCCCAAAGAGATATTTATAGGGACGGCTGGCTACGATTTCCTTTTTTATCTTTTATTTGTTTTCCATCACATGGAAGGGGTGAGTTATTATTATTATTATTTTTGTAATCCTCACCCGAGGATATTTTCCCATTGATTTTTTTTTTTTTTTTTTAGGAAGAGAGAGTGAAAGATAGAGAGAAACACCGATGTGAGAGAAGCACATTGATTGGTTGCCTCCTTGAGCTCCTTGAGGGCAGGGGCAGGGCCTTTGTTTCCCTCCCAGCGCCTGGCACAGCGCCTGGCACACGTGGGTACTGCACACGCACCCACCGGGGCCTTGGGTCCCGGCTCGCGTGACTCACCCCCCACACCCCCTGCCCGGTGC